TGGTGTATAACTCTTAAAATTCTTGTAATCTCAAACGTGGCAAGTTTTTATATGTTAATGAGTTGCCTGATAGCTTGGAAGCACCTGTGTAGCTTCAAGTTGGGGGCTGGTTAGCCAGAAAGAACAAGGCAGGATTAGAGGCTTGAGACTTTTAGCCTTGCCCTTCAAACTCTGGGAAGGAGAGAAGGGCTGACGGTTAAATTGATCCCCAGTGGCCAGTGGTTTAATCAATAATGCAGTGAAGCCTCTGTAAACCCCTAAAAGTTCAGAGAGTTTCTGGATTGCTGAACACATGGAGGTTCTGGAAGTTGGCCTGCCAGAACAGGCAGGGAAGGTCCCCATACCTCACACTATGCATCTCTTCATTGTATCTTCTGTATTATCCTTTATAATAAACCAGAAAATGTGTTTCCCTGAGTTCTGTGAGCTGCTCAGCAAATTAATTGAACCCAAACAGGGGCCAGGGATCCCCAGTTTATAGCTGGTAGTCAGAAGCACTGGTAAAACCAAATTGTTTTTGGTTACCATTGGAAGTGGGTGGCAGTCTTGTGGGACTGAGCCCCTCTGTGGGATCTGATGCTGTCTGCAGAAAGATAGTGTCAGAGTTGAATTGGAAGACACCCAGCTGATATCCACTGTAGAATTGATTGTTTGCCTGTTGGTGGGAAGAGATCTCCACACATTTGGTCAGAAAGTCTTCCATGTGGATTGTTGTGCTGTGAGAGCATAAGAAAGAACAGCTTGTGTTTTTTTGTACTTTCATTTTTATTTATTTATTTATTTATTTTTTTGGCCGGATTTTTTGGGGCTGGGTTTGAACCCGCCACCTCTGGCATATGGGACCAGCGCCCTACTCCTTTGAGACAGACACTGCCCCATTTATTTGTATTTTTGAAAAGCTCTGTGGGTGATTATAATGTGCAGTCGGGGTAGAGAACCACTCCTATACAACATCCCACAAAGTGCTGGGAGGTGATTTTTTTTTATTGCATACCATACTTTCTTGGTTATGAAAGGAGACAGGGACTAGTTTATATTTGAACATTTTATTTTGTTTCTTACGTCTGAGTGTTGGCTAGTTATCTCTGCCTCTTACACAAGTGTTTTTTTTTTTTTAGGCAGCTTGTATTGCCTGCTGGGATTGGGGAAATCCTGGGTTTGGGTGGAATTTTCCATGACTTCTCTTAGCTCTGCACCATTAGTGTTGACTGCGGTCACAGAGCTTTTCCGTGTCTCTGCCTGTGCTACTCTCCTCCCTTTTTATAATGTCAAATAGATATTAAACCTCAACTACAAGTCTGGGTATTATGTTCGTGTTTAATACCCAAGTTCTAAGGACGGATCAGAGAATCTCATCTGAATTAACTTTTTGTTTATAAAGTGAGTCAGCGTGAGCTATCTATTTTGGCCTGATTTCCTCAGGTGTCATGTGTCTTTGTCACCAAACCACCCTTTGTTTCTGTAGGCACAGGCTTCTGATGCAGTGCTGGCTGATTAGCCAGCCTTCTCTTCACTAGTGATCAAATCAGCCTTTTGATCCTTTGATTGGAAGAGTTCTAAAATTGACAGCAAATGGAAGAAAAGAGATCCAACAAGATAACAACCTAGCTGGTTTTGGCTAGTTCCCCTCTTACAGGGGAATTTAAAGTCCTGAGACTTTAAGAGGCTACTGCAGTGATATCCTTTTGCTTAGAAAGCAATTCCCTAGATCTTGTGCAAAGAATAGCAGAATATTGCCAAATTTCATTCTCCCAGAGCAGTAGTAGTTGGAGGGTTGGGCTTATTTTTTTTTACCATGAACACCCCCCCACACACACACAAATGAGAGAAGCTGTCATCAATTCATTTACAGTTGACCCTTGAACAATGGGGGGGTTAGAGTCACTGACCCCCACACAATTGAAAATCTGTGTATAACTTTGACTCCCCTTAAGGCAAACTTAACTATGAATAGTCTACTGTTGACTTTATCAATAGGGGGTGGGTCAACAATATATGAATGAATTAGAAGTTCTCATTTTATGGGGAAGGTCATTGTAAACAAGCCCAACCTCCATGTACTTAACTAATGCTCTGGGAGAATGAAATTTGGTAATATTCTGTTAGTCTTTGCACTGGATCTAGGGAATTGCTTTTCTATGGAAAAGAAACTATTATTACTGCTGAGTTTTCTAAACTCTCGGGAGTTTAAATCAGCCTATAAGAGGGAACTAGTCATATTTTGTCAGCACATATTTTGTATGTTACATGTGTTATATACTGTATTCTAACTATAAAATAAGCTAGAGAAGGCAGGGCACGATGGCTCACGCCTGTAATCCTAACACTTGGGAGGCCAAGGTGGGCGGATCACCTGAGCTCACAGGTTCAAGACCAGCCTGAGTCAGAATGAGACCCCATCTCTAAAGATAAGCTGGGCATTGTGGTGGGTGCCTATAGTCCCAGCTAACTGGGAGGCTGAAGCAAGAGAATCACTTGAGTCCAAGAGTTTGAGGTTGCTGTAAACTATGACGCCATGGCACTCTACTGAGGGCAATAAAGTGAGACTATCTCAAAAAATAAATAAATAAGCTAGAGAAAAGAAAATGCTACTAAGAAAAACATAAGGAAGAAAAAAATATATTTACTATTAAGTGGAAGTGGATCATTATAAAGGTGTCTTCATCCTTGGATTCACATCAACTAGGCTGAGGAGGAGGAAGAAGAAGAGAGGTTGGTGTTTGTGTTTCAGGGGTGGCAGAGGGCCAGGCACGGTGGCTTACACTTGTAATCCCAGCACTTTGGGAGGCTGAGGCAGGTGGATTGCATGAGCTCAGCAGTTCAAGACCAGTCTAAGCAAGAGCTGGTCTTAATTCATATATCTCTAAATAATAGCCGGGTGTTGTGGCAGGCACCTGTAGTCCCAGCTACTTGGGAGGCTGAGGCGAGAGGATCACTTGAGCCCAGAAGTTTGAGGTTGCTGTGAGCTGTGATGCTATGTACTCTACTGAGGGTGGCAAGTAAGACTCACTTTCTTTCTTTCTTTCTTTTTTTTTTGAGACTCTGTTTCAAAAAGGGGGGGGGAGTGGGGGGTAGAAGGAGAGGCAGGTGTATAAATGGAACCAGTGAAACCAGGCATACAAGTGGACCCATGTGTTTCAAACCCATGTTATTAAAGGGCCAACTGTATTTTAAATAGGAACTCAAGGCTGTATGTATTGTGCTTCATCATGGCCCCTGCTCTGATCGCCCTATGAAAAGTACTCACCCCCCAAAACCACTCTATTTATTCTGCTGTATTTCCTTCATAACTGTGGTCCACAAACTCCAGGCTCTGGATGGGTACTGGTGAGCAGTGGGCCAGCAAACAAGACCTCATTTGTATTTACAGCCACTCCCCATTGCTGGCATCACCATCTGAGCTCTGCCTCCTGTCAGATACACCAGCAGTGACATTAGATTCTCATAGGAGAGCCAACCCTAATGTAAATTGCATATTCAAGGGATATAGGTTGTGCCCTCTTTATGAGATTCTGATGCCTCATGATCTGAGGGGGAGCAGAGGCAGTGATGCTAGGGCTGGGGATCAGCTACAAATGCAGACTACCATTAGCAGAGAGGTTTGACTGCACAAAGACCATAATAAATCAATTGCTTGCAGACTCATATCAAAACCATCCCCGCACCATCTGTGGAACAATTATCTTCTATGTAAGCTGACCCTGGTGCCAAAAAGGTTGGGGACCTTGGCTTCATAACACTTATTTCCTAACAATAATATTATGTAAGCTTTATGAGATTATTGGCATTTCATTTTCTTTCTTGGATTCCAGAGGCCTATAACTATTAGGTGCTCATTAAATGTTTGTTTAATAGGTTAAACAGGATTTTTGACTATAGCCAGACGTTTGCATATTGTCTTTCTTTTTGTGCTTTACCTTGGTCTTAGCTCAGTAATTCTCAAATTTATTTGGGCACATGAATTACTATGTCAGGTACAAAACCATTTATTCAGAACTTCATGAGCAATGTAAGAAAATTTTAAAGATCACTTTGTGCTATTTTTCCACTTTTAACTGGGAAGTAAGATGTAATACATTGTACTTTCTCCATAATTAGTATGTAATACAGAGGAGTACCTTGTTATTTAGATTCTGAAGTAAGCTGGCGTTAAATGCCCATTTGGTTCAGTTCTGCTAGGAACCAAAAGGTCTTACATATTTTAGTAGTGATGGCAATTTGAGAAGGGGAGCTTAAGTGTTGTTGTGGTCTAACTGGGAGATAACAGACCTAGCCTGTTCCAGTAAAAATGGGTGTGTCATATAGAATGTGGGTTTTAACCCTTGGAGAATGGATAAAGCAAGACCTATTTTCCATGAGCCTGGAAGTGTGATGGTGTAAATTAAGATTAGCTGGGGTGTTGGGGGCAATCTGCCTGTAACATCTGTCACCCTCCTTGGTCAGCAGGGTTGATTCAGCTGATCTGGCTGGCTAGCAGGGTGTCCCCTTCCTGCCTCACCACTCCATGGGCATCTTTCCTCAAGCTATGTGCTTGTCGAAAGAGGACAGCTTTCCCTGTGAGAGAGAGAACCATCCTTTGGTCAAGGGTATATGAACAGCAGTACTTCCCTACTAGAACCTCCAAACCAAGTCTCAAGATTAGGTTTTCAGGGTTTTTGAGGTAAAGATACCGTGTGTTCAGGAAACCTCAGATACTTGGAAAGATAATCAGGTGCAGAGAGACAAAACAGAGACCACCTGCGATGAAGTCTCATGGATGTGTCTGAAAATGAAGGTACAATGTGTCCTGGAAGATGTTTTTGTTTTCAGACATGCTCCCATTAGTGCATTGTGTATTGAAGATTTGGTTGAAATGGAGTAGATTGAAGTTTTTTTCAAGGTTTTCTTAATAACCTGATAGACTGAAGTTTTGTTAATGTACTTTTTCCATCCTAGTTGAAAATGGTCATGTCCACATGATTCCACCACTTTGTTTTTGTTCCTCTCCCCACTTCTTTTAGTTGGCTGATTGCAATTCTGGCCCAACTCAACCCTCTCTTTGGACCACAATTGAAAAATGAAACCATCTGGTATCTGAAGTATCACTGGCCTTGAGGAAGAAGACATGTTCCACAGTGCTCGGTCTTTGAGGTGACTATATTCTTGACCTTTCACATCAGTATTGCCAATCAGTCAGCTATGGTTTATCTTTTTTCAGACTTTTACTGCCATTTTAACACATGACAAGAGCAAGTTGCTAAAAGCAAATGAGATCTGAAGAACAGAAATCAATTTAGAATTTGGCCATCCACCTTACTTAAATGTTATGGATGTGTCTATAAGATTTTTTAAAATTCTACTATTACCCTGCCTACAATATAAATACAGTTTGATTTACAAATTCAAGCGTGCACATACTCTGACACAGATCAGAAAAGTAACTATTTATACTTAGACTTGCAAGATCCAGCAACTTTAAAAAGTGTCTGCCAGGCCAGGTGAGTTGGCTCCTGCCTGTAAATCCCAGTACTTGGGAGGCTGAGGCAGGTAATTGCCTGAGCTCACGAGTTTGAGACCAACCTGAGCAAGAGTGAGACACCATCTCAAAAAAAATAGCTGAGTGCTATGGCGGGTGCCTGTAGTCTCAGCTACTTGGAAGGCTGAGGCAAGAGAATCGCTTGAACCCAAGAGTTTGAGGTTGCTGTGAGCTAAGATGCCACAGCACTCTATTAAGGGTGACTGAGTCAGACTCTGTCTCAAAAAAATGTGTCTGCCAGGCTGAGTGTGGTGGCTCATGCCTATAATCCTAACATCGTAAGAGGCTGAGGCAGTTGGATCGCGGGAGCTCAAAAGTTCGAGACCAGTCTGAGCAAGAGTGAGACCCCCATCTCTACTTAAAGTAGAAAAACTTCCTGGCTTCATTGAGGGCACCTGTAGTCCAACTACTTGGGGAGACTGAGTTAAGAGGATTGCTTGAGTCTAAGAATTTGAGGTTTCTGTGAGCTGTGACACCCCGGCACTCTATCCCAGGCAACAGAGTAAGACTATGTTTCCAAAAAAAAAAAAAAAAAAAAAGGAAGTAGCTGCTAGATTTAAAATTCAGGTGTCTGAATACTTTGGATGGAGAGCAGTACCTTTTGAATGTCAGTCTTAAAATTGTAACTTTTGTTTGGTTCTGAGGATCAGAGAAGTGAGTGGCGGTATAGTGGAAAGATTTATTCACTGGCTAAGAGTCAGGAAACCTGTCATTTAGTTTGTTCTAGCTCCATTATTTCATTAAATGGAAGTGTTAAAGGCTTGGCTAGATTTAGGTTCGAGTTTTTGGCTGCCCTTTCTGATGCCGCTTAGGTGTTACTGTAAACTGCATACTGCCTTGCATTGGGAGACACACGATGTCTGGCTCTCCTGTTTTTAGTGATGTCAAGATGATCACTGGATTCAGGTAATGACAGCCTGGTTCCTCCATTTGTAAAGTTCTCTGTCAAGCTTTTATGCAGTGATTTTTTTTTTTTTTTTTTACCAAGTAACGATCATAGCCAGAATTAATTTCAGTAGAAATTGCAAGATGATTTTCTAGTTCTATCATTACTTCCACATTTGATTAGTTGAAATGCTTCTGTAAAGATAAATCTTCCCTCATCAACTAGAGTTATTTAATAACCTTGAAATAAAGATCAGATGGAAATACAGGAAAAGCAGAATATAGATATAATTCTTTTAATTTTCACAATAAGATGTTGGTACTCAAGTTACTTTGGGGGGTTTCCAGTGAGATTTTCTTTTTTTTTAAATTTTAATTAATTCTACTATCCTTTTTTTTTTGAGACAGAGCCTCAAGCTGTTGCCCTGGGTAGCCTGCTGTGGCATCACAACTCACAGCAACCTCCAACTCCTGGGCTCAAGTGAGTCTCCTGCCTCTGCCTCCCAAGTAGCTGGGACTACAGGTG